CGTCGAGGCTTGGAGAGGGACAAGTGAAGTCAATACGAAGTTCAGTTCTATTGCATTTAGTTGACAATCGTCACGTAATAGACAAGACCAAAGCGTTCAACATCATCTATCGCATTCCATAAAATCTTTCAAACAGAATTCGCACCAGCATTTTGCATATAGCTGAGGAAATGGGAATAAGAGAAAACAAACCTAGTCTTTTTCTACAGAAAACGTTTGCGTAGCCTTTATCTCTGCCTTGGTCAGATAAATAACTTCATATAAACTCGATTTTCATCCTCTTCCCCTTTCTTCACCTCTTTGATTATCTACACATTTCATCCCTTAGTATTACGTAACTTTTATTTCTCTAAGTTTTGGTCGACATTGTTTATTTAAATATTTTCAATACCATGCTATTTCCATTGTTCTTATCATCACTGAGATAACTACTACTATTGCCATTATTATTATTGGGATTGCCTAGATATCTACTATTTGGATGCTTCATTTCCTAATTATCATAGACCAAATAATCAACCATGATTGATTTAATGTTTTATCTATGAGAAAATTTATATGTATTAGCGTAAAGCTTGATGAGAGCTAATTGAAAACAATATAGTTCGCTTTTATGTCTTCTAATTTTGAAAATGGTAATTTTTAACTGTATATTTGACAGGGTCAATTGATACTTATAGAAATATACTTTCATTAGAAGACTAGTAAATATGCAGCTAGTTATGGAAGTATACCACCTATAGGAAGCAAGCCAACCAAGTGAAAATACTTTTAAAGGCTATCTGAATTCTCAATCTAATGAAGTTCCATTATAATCCTGTTCTCACTTTGCCCATAGAAGACCAATCAATCGAGAGAAAATATAACAAGGTAACATGAAAACGATGAAAAGTCTATATCTTAAATAAATACTTATATTAAAAGAGATTTTTGTTGATGAATATTCGATCTTTACCTTTCACTATTCACTATTTTGTATTTATACTGAGTGTACTAAACTATTATCTCATTGTTAGTCAGAATTTGTTTTGGGTCTACCTGGACAGATATGTGTACAGTACTGCCTACTATTATATTGGCAAAAGTTAGGCTATTAGAATGTTTCTCTGAATATTCAGTAGACTTCAATAATTTATCTGATTTGAACAATGATGTAAAGTTTATCTCTTGGTACCCTTTAAATTCTCCTTTTCAGTTTCTCATAATAAAACAGGTCTTGGCTATTCGTGTACAGATATCCGGACTTCATAGGGAAAAAGCATTTACAGGTCTTTTTTTGGCTTTCAACATAACATCGTTTCAAATTTTCCCTCATGTCAGATTATGATTTGCATACTTCTGTTATGAATACATTTATTATTTCATTATTATTATTTTTGAGGTAGTAGTCATCACAGACTGACATTAGTTGGAGAACCCGTTGAAAACCGTGATGAATAGTACCTTATAATTAAAATCCCCATTCACCTCAAAATACATTACTTCCAGATAGATATCCCGTAGTCCTAATGAGAAGCCGTGACATGTGGGGTCAACCAATCAAAAGAAAAGTGGATGCCAGCTGAAGACCTTGGGTGGCGCTGTATCGCGAATCGACAGGAGGTGCGAACTGTGAACCACCGGATTTCGACACATTTCAGTTTTCACACGGCATATATAACCTGAAAGTGGACTCATAGAATAGAGATTTTCTTTTTGAATATGATTAGCGCAAAGAGAGTATCTGTTGTAATTACTGGCAGATCAAAATAGATTTCGCTTAGCGGAACACAGGACAAAGATTTTAAAAAATGACAGGAAGCAAATATGGTGTGAACTTATCAATACGGTCGTCATATTTAGCAAAGATGCACTCACGCAGTGATTGTCAGGAGATTTCAATATGTGTATTTTTAGACAGAGGTGATGAAGATACACAACAACAACAACAACAAGCACCAATCAACATCAATGGGAGAAATATAAATGAAGTTGTCTCTTTCACCTACATACCTAACCAGGCAGCATCATCTCAACTACAAGCGGCACATACACAGATGAGGATGTTAAACCCAGTCAGGATCGGAAAGACAGCAACACAGGTCTTCATCAACCTGAAATCAGTGTAGAGACCTACTGCACTCCATTCTACTCCATTCCACTCTGCATAATGCGTGAACAACATCCGGATTTTCAACACTAATTCAGTAAAGTCACTGCTCCTATGTGATGGTTCGGAGACTTGGCGCGTTGCGAGAAGCATTTCCAACAAACTGTAGACACACATCAACAGCTGACGCCTACGCTCACTCCATATTGAAGATTAGATCAGATGGTCAGAATAATAAGAATAAGCAAGGAGGAACTCACTCTGGCTGGCTGGCAGGCAGGCAGGCAGGCGGGTGACGAACCAACGAGGCAAGAACCTATTACCCAACAACTATGCAGAAGGGAGTGAAGATTGATTGAATTAGACATACATAGATCCATCACTAATATAATTAGAACGCTGGTAATTTCGAGGCATCCGCACAGGAGCCCATATGCCAGTAGAGGCCAATCAATTCGGTCCGATCGACCATGGTATAATATAAAATGATTATACATCGAGAAGACTGTTTGGGGATATCACCTGCTAGGTCAGGCCATCCAGTGGAATCCAAGTGGGAAACGATGAGTTGGGCATCCGAGGCGAGGATGATATGGAGGAGATGGTGTGAGGAAGAAATGAAAGCTTGTGGGTAGTGGTGGAGCCAGTTTGAAAAGATTGAAGAGAAGAGAGTGAAATGGCTGTTTGCTGCTGAAACCCTATGCTCCACTAGGAACCCAAGGGATAAATAATAATACTCATAATTTCTAGACCTTAAATATGTTTATGTAAATTAACATCAACGACTACAATGGCACTAAAATTCAAAGGTATGTGTTTCAAACACCTCAGTATTATTTACAGGCCCACGATTCTGGATGTGTAGCACTAGTTTATCCGAATGTCCCTTCGATAAATGAACTCATCTCTGATAATCAGTCAGAAAATCAGTTATCGAATAACTAGTAAATATTGTGATCAGTTTCGGGATCTAGACACTAACAATGAAAGTGTAATCCTGTACTGAAGTAAGTTCGAAAGGTAATTATAAGACTTATATTGGTGAACGACTGTTGTTGCCGACAGATACCCTAATCCACAGTACAGGAGTCAGTGAACAGTTTGTTGTAATAGTCATTATTCTTAAGTAGAAGAAGACTATTTGATTATTTAAATAGCCTTCAGTACGCTAAGCTACTGTCACAATAAAAGAAACGAAAGATTTTTGTTCATTTCAGTAGAATCTTTGATTATCTGTCAAAAAAATGTCTAGGAACTAGGAAATCAAGTCCATCTGAAGTCGACAAGTGTAAAAGAAAAACTCGAAATTAATACACAATCAAAGTTCAGGTCAATATATCAGTCCACCAAAAAACTAGAACTAAAATAAACCAAAATTATATTTAGAGGAAGTATTCAACACGAAATGTCATTAGTTGAAGGACCAGTGAATACCTGGGAGCGTTGTACAGCTGTTCCTTTCTAGTGTGCGACTCTCCAGCAGTACGCATCTACAACCCGGCAAGGGATCGAATTCAGAATCTTCGGGTTTCGTGACGAATGCATTAACCTTTCAGCCATTAGGTCGAAATCCAGTGGTTCACAGTTTCCACCTTTTGTTGACTCGAGATATAGTGCGACTATCACCCAAATTCTTCAGTTAGTATCAACTTCCTTTCGGACTGGTTGATCCCACAAGTCACGGCTTCTCGTTAGAACTTAATATCCATCTGGAAGCACGTCACTATACAATATATGTATTTGAGGTGAGTGAGGATTTCACTTTTGAGGTAGCATTTATCACGCATTGACATTAGTTGCGGAAGCATATTGTAAACTTGAGGTCAACGCACAGCTGTTTCTTCTTTGTAAGGGACTCCTCAGCAGTATTTATTTATACTTACTTTCACCTTTTCGCTTAGATGCACATTTCTACATTTCCATCCTGATAAGCTGATGCTGTTTATAAGTGAATAATGGCCAAGAATATGGTGACAAGCAGAAAAATTAGGAGTGTATCAAGTCAATGGATAGAAGTTAGGCACTTCATGTTGGGAAGCTTGGTTCTAAACTTATAAACTCTTTGTTAGTAGCTACTGTTCGAGCTTTTGTAATGCCTTTACATTATTTTGTACTACTCTGGGTTGAATATTAATCTGTGAAGATCTTTTAAAGCAGATTTAGTATGAAAATGGCAGAAGTTGAACTGAAATACCAACTTCTGCTTTTACAGTTGCATGTAGCATCATATTTGGTTTGATAAAATTTCAGAAACTTCAATAATCAACATAAACATGTCTCAATGAATCCTTCGTGAGGAAAACACTCTAACCATAGGTATACCAAAGCCAGAGAGTATGTACTGTGTATGTTTAAGCCATTTATTCTACTCATGTTCGTGTAGCTGTGACAAAACTTCACAGTTAATCATTTCAGTACTCCTTATAAAATAGAATCCAATAATAATTTGATGGAATTTTGTAATTTGTCAGAGTAGATTTTTACTGACATTGATGCTAATAAATATAATTGTTCCTCAGAAAATCTCTTTTCAAATAATTAAAGCTTTTCTTTCAGTTAGAAAGCAAGCTTACTTATCATTAAATTATTTGGTAGTGATCATTTCTATCTTATTCTATATCCTGGAGAAAACACTTTTCATTCTTATGATGTTCATATGATATGAGTGATTGATGGCAGTATGATTTTGTCAAAAATTTGTTCAGTTGAAATTATCCATTTCTTCAACTGGATAAATTCAGTTCTGTGAGATCGGCAAAACACTCAAGGTGATAAATGTCAATGAAATAACCCCAGAATAAATATTTTCTTTCAAATATAATCTCAGCAATTAGATAATCCAAACATTCTATGCAGAAATGAATCATACTGGAATGAAAGTAACTGAAAGGAAACCAACGATAGCCAAAAATATCAATACTGTATAGAGAATTTATTGGTAATTTACAGATAAGTACAATATAGTAGAATCGTCAAAATAATATAACCTTCACTGATGACTAGATTGTATAAGAAACAATAATCACAAAATAAAATAAGTGGGAAATATCAAAATGTGTTAAGTCAGAGATATACAACCAGAAGTCAGTCAGCCAAGAGGGGAATAGAAAGGCTTTCAGAATAATTTGTCTTACTAAAAAATCTAATGAATCGTACGTAAAACATGGTACAATTATTTATATACCCTGAGTTAATCAATAAGAAAGAACTATATCTATATCACAGTCAATTTGAGTAGATAATAGTACTGACCGTACTGTCTAGTTTGACACGAGGAACTAAGAAAATATAAACTTGGACAATACAATAAAACTAATAGCTGCCAAATTGTGAAACAATGAAAAAAATTTTAAGAAGCCAGAAAAATACTTTTTAAATTAGATAAGATAAATCAACAGCATCCGATAAATCATGATAAAAGTAAAATAATTTATTTCATCTCATCAAGAAGTGAAGGTATTGTCTCTTGACTGATAGGTATAAATTCTTTGTTCAATCGACTGTATAGATGTACATCACCTGAATGTAATGCAAACCATAGACCATGTACACGTAATGACCTCTGAGTAATTTGACTTATTAATGTCTGGTAAGAATAGACATTTATCATTTGTTGTAATACATTCACCTTCAAAATTAATAGAAATGGAAAAAAATAAAATTAAATGAAAAATAAATATTTTTAGTATTGAACTTTGGACCACCGAAAAATTTCCCACCGATTTTATTTTATCAAATTCTTCACTTTCAATTTGTTTTAATCTTTCAGTTATGTCTTTTAAATGTATCAAGTATTTTGGCACACTTTTAAAATGGTTTCAAACTTCTATTTTTCAAGTTAACAGCAAAACGAAGAGTTAAACGATGCTCCAGTAAGAGATGGGTTAATAAATGCAATGAAATACAGTATATTACTATTTCTTGAATAACCTTATCGAACAGCAGATATTGCTACTGGCTGAAAAAGCTACCACCACCAAAATTACGCTCCATATTCATTTACTAGTCCAAACTATATGCCATCATAATACCAGGTACCTGTTTCACATTGTGCCTTGTATTACTGTTAGCACTAAAATGAGTCAAATGCTATGATTCTTTTGCCTAACGGTATTGTACAAGGAATGAATTTATTAAACTAATACATGATGAGAGTTCCATGCTGGACTACAATTCTTGTTTGCAATAAACCTATTATTATTATCATTATTAAAAAGCAACTCATGCGACTACTAGAGCTAACCTTGGTTTACGACACTCATTTCTGTGCAATAATCTTACGATTTGCCAATGGATTCACAATGGAAAACTCAGCTAAGTGATGCCTTTGAAGTGAAGACAGCAGCAAGACAAGACAAGGTTGCCTACTATAGCCGACGATCTTCCTGATTGTCGTCGACTGGACTGGATCATACAACAAACAGCTGTGAGGAGCGAGAACATGAGCATACGCTGTTTGACCAATGAAAAGACCCCACAAGAAGATTTGGATTTCACCCATGAGATATTTTATGTCCGTTAACCCACAAACTCGAAGATCTACAGGCAAAAACCAACAAGTTGGCAGAAGAGGCGGGGCAGCGGAGGAAGATGGGACTTCCTTCACGTGAATGTAGAGCAGACACAGGTGATGAAGATACACAATAACAACAACAACAACAAGCACCAATCAACATCAATGGGAGAAATATAAATGAAGTTGTCTCTTTCACCTACATACCTAACCAGACAGCATCATCTCAACTACAAGCGGCACATACACAGATGAGGATGTCAAAGCCAGTCAGGATCGGAAAGACAGTAACACAAATCTTCATCAACCTGAAATCAGTGTGGAGATCTGCTGCACTCCATTCCACTCCACTCCATTACACTCAGCATAAAGCGTGAACAACATCCAGATTTTCAACACTAATTCAGTAAAGTCACTGCTCCTATGTGATGGTTGGGAGACTTGGCGCGTTGCGAGAAGCATTTCCAACAAACTGTAGACACACATCAACAGCTGACGCCTACGCTCACTCCATATTGAAGATTAGATCAGATGGTCAGAATAATAAGAATAAGCAAGGAGGAACTCACTCTGGCTGGCTGGCTGGCTGGCAGGTAGGCAGGTGACGAACCAACGAGGCAAGAGCCTATTGCGCAACAAATACGCAGGAGGAAGTGGAGATTGATTGGATTGGACATGCATCGAGAAGACTGTTTGGGGACATCACGTGCCAGGCCAGACCGTCGAGTGGAACCCAAAGAGGAAACGACGCGATGGGCGTCCGAGGCGAGGATGACATGAAGGAGATGGTGTGAGGAACAAATGAAAGCTTGTGGGTAGTGGTGGAGCCAAGTTGAAAAGACTGAAGAGAAGAGAGTGAAATGGCTGTTTGCTGCTGAAACCCTATGCTCCACTAGGAACCTAAGGGACAAATAATATGGTTACGATTAAATTATACTGGTGTTAAGATTCGAACTAACATTTTTTATGTTGCCGGTTTAATAGTAGAGGGCTGCAGCTACGAAAGTGGTATGCCTATGAGCTTATTGTAGTTTAGTTACCGTGTCGTATCTGACTGTCATTTGAACGTCCAATACACGGTCATCGCCACATTTGTCACTGTGGGTAGATTGTGTGGTCAGTAAGATCGAGGTTGCTATCTCGAATCCTGTCCTGATCAGAGCTTTCGTTCAACCAAATTCATCACCTTCTTACATTGGAATCAGTCAGCAGAACCAAGAATTTTTTCGAAAAGTATAGTTAATTAGAAGACAGCTTTTTTAAATTTATCCCCTGATGTACTAGAAAGTAAGTTGTATGCAATCATTGAAGTAACCACCTCCAATTCAGAAGTCAGGCGTAGAGCTTTAGGGAGAAGAGGTGAATCAGTTGACGAGGTTATAAACCTTCATCGACTGAGATGGTTGAGACACGTGTTACTTATGCCTGGTCACCGACTGCCTCGTCACACAATGTTGGCCGAAGTAGGTCCAGGCTGCAAAAAGGCCAAGGGTGGCCAGACTAAAACATGGCATCAATGTATGAAGTCTCTGACTGTTTGTTTTAACCATGTGGGGCGATGAAGACTAGTCGGTTGGGGTCCGCGAGACAAGAGGAACCAGTGGTTGGAGACTCTAGGTGATCGTATGACTCAGAACCCATGTCAGTGGCGCAGATGTGTACATACATTATCCTCATCTTAACGACGCTGTACCAAATCTCACCATTTTCTCATTCTTCCTTTTTCACTTCTCATACTTCATGTTTCCTTTGAGTGAATCTTCTTATCTTCATCTTTCACCTCACTGCCTTTTTACTTGATGTAGTGGTATGAGATGTGGCAAGTTGGACCGTGAGGCAGTAATGCCTGGTCCTATGTTGATAATGACGATGATGATGAGTTGGATACAATGATAATGAACTGGAATTTTGTGTGTTAAATTGTTGATCAAGTGCATCATGTGTCAGTAAGTCTTTATATATGGGTGAGGTTTGTATTCTGTTGAGAATAACATTTCTGTACCATCAAGAAGTTAGAATCAAGCTGATACAAACACTTTTTTTATTCGAAATGATTAGGTTGATGTCAAATTCAGTGTTTTACTAAATCATTAAACTTGTAAAGTTCATCTTCGAATTGTTGAATTTTATCACGAAATCAAGTACATATAAAAATTTATCAAAATAACTATACATTGGACAACTAGTTCATCGGACATTAATTTATAAGCATCATTTTGTAGTGTTCAGTGGTAGTCGAAATCTTTCTGTTAGACTATGCGAAGTAATCATTGCAGTAAGTGATACTGAATGCTAACGAGTAGTAGGTTTTGTGTCTGTGTATTAGAAACTTATGCCTTTTGACTGGATAAAACTCGTTTATCCTTCTGGTTAATTTTACGGGGTAAAGCATTCATCATTCAAGATAGCATAGAATATGCTTATCATCAATATATCAGGATCAAGACGGTTTTATAAAGGATATGGAGTGATGTAGTATTCCATATAAGGTAATACGCTTAAAGCATGGATTTCAAAGAACTGGGCCTAACAGTTTCGTAGACACGTGCAAAAAATCCTTGATTCAATTAGACTTTATTGCAAAAGGGTGATTTGTGTATGGAGGTTTAATCATCAGTCACATTTGCAAAAGTAATTTATGTCATTTAAAACTATAGAAATACTTCAGACTGTAACACAAACGGTCATACAGTCCATGACATTTTATTTAACGCTTTTATTCCAATCATTCTCTTCAGGGAAGTATATCCAAAAGCTGAATACTTTCAAAACGGTTCAAGTCACAGACTGACAATGACTGAAAATCATAAAGTGCTGAATACTTATACTTTCCATAAGTACCGCTTACCAACAATCACTTATCTGAGTCAATTTAGCACATTTAGGCCTTATGGTAATCTATTTCGATCCACTGTTACGGTTGAAGTTAAGCTTTTTAATGTCTGTAATGAGTTTAAAAGTACCTGTTAGATGAATTTCACTCAGTGACATGATAGCAAAAAAACAGCAAAAGATTCGAAGGTACCTAACTCATTACTACATGAACTCAATGATATATTGCTGTGAAATTTTGAAGTAAAATGAAATGCGCATCCTAGATTCCACTGCTAGCCACTGCCCATCATTACTAAACATAGTTAAAAGACAGGCCATATCGAGGCATCCGCATAGGAGCCCATATGCTAACAGAGGCTGATCAATTCGGTCCTACCAACGACGGTGTAATATAAGCAATAACACTAAAATGAAGAGATATTATAGTACAATGAAATCTTAGGTAACTGTTTAACTAACTGAAATCAACAATGAAAAATCATTTAATTGTTATTATTCCATTACCTGAGATAACTTGTCAATTTCTGGTAAACTTTTGATTTTTCTAATATCAAGTTCAAGTGTTGGACATTTTGGATGAATTGTGGACGAAAAGCTGATTATATCTGACTTCAGATTGAAGCTTTGTAAAGTTTTCTTTCCATTCTCCCATATCCAGTTTTCTAAGGGGCTAGGTTCTATTACATCAGCTCCATTGCTATTGTTATGTTGTACATGGCCATCCATATAGTTTCTAAAGCTATTCAATACACCCATTGCCTGTAATTAAATAATAAATCCACTGAATAATCACTTGTGCGAAGAATGAATGCTAAAGAAAGTTAAACTACTTTCATCATAATGACTAGCAGTAGAATTCAGGACGCATGTTTCATTCTATCTAGGACTCTTCAGCTGGATGTACCTGCACTCCAGTCGTGTTGTTCCCACCAAGACACGAACCTAATACCCATTGCTACAAACGCCAAAAAGTTATCCACTTGGGCACTTGGGCACAAAAGCATGCCTAAACTTTGTTCTGCTACTTTTGAAACCAAGATGACAAGCACATTCATACCTCGCAGATCACATTAGTTCGTATGGTTAACGACGTCTCTACAGTAGTAAAAACTACTTAGAAAAATATACAGTTTCATCAATCTAAGTTTCATCTCCTGAATTTACGTGCATTCACCGAAAAACAAGTTGATTCATAAGTGGAATGACGTACAGAACTGAAAGTGTATCACAGATTTAACTGTTAACGCCTACTCAGGGATCTTCAATGAAAGATACCTTACTACCTTAATAATCCCACTTTAGGTAACAAGCAGCAAGTTTACTTTTGCCTATAAAAGTCCTTTGGGGTTTTTCCACAATGAAATAACAACCAATTCCGAGAATTATTTGGCATATTAACAACATAGCAGTTTGTTTGATCTGAAAATAGTCTACCACTCAAGGCGATTTTTCACAAGATATTAATGAGCTCAAATTTTGTTGGGAGTGACTGTATTTTTAGAAGTATTTGCTGCAAACAAAGCAGAAAACTTCATAAACATTAAAGCAGATAGTGTGAGTTCTCTCTTATGAAATGAGTTGACATTCATCCTAATACTGATTTTGGCCGATAGGTATTATTCTGAAGTTTATATGATATGCACTACACAATAATGTGTTAAATTTGGTGAATATACTAATGCAATCAGAAAAAAAGTATCACTATAGATGTTAGATGAACAACAGCCAAAAACCCAGTTGCAATACAAACATATCGTTATTATGCTCATTAGTAGCTACCAGCGAAGTCTAGGATTTCCATTCCATCCTGTTGAACACTTACTAGTCAGATCCGTCTTTAACACTAGGAGAGGGAACCAACAGTTGTTCCCCCGAGCTCCAACAGACTATCTACTTGAGTATAGCCTTATATCAGATACCTTTCATTCAGTCCAAATCACATGGTGCTTTCTCTTCGACCATTTGAATAAGTATTTTGAAGAGAAATGCAACCTTTAAAGCAATGAGTTCTGTTTTTTATGGTGAAAATCATTCACTCACTAACCTAAAATACATACTTTCTTAAGTAATCTGAATGCGTGACTTTTTCATTTAAAATAGGGGATTTAAGTTAAACTAAAACACAAAAATAACGGTTATACAATTGGATTTGAATTACATAAGTAACCATGGGAAACGCACCTTTTTAAAAAACGTAAACGGTTCACTTTATGTATAAGACGCGAAATTCCAAACATCCTATTTCTTCAGAAATAATACTTTCCTATTAATTTGTAAACCTTAACGAGGATTACAAAGTAATAGAAATGTTTACATTCAAAATCGTATTCTTGTGCCACAGATACTGAACCAAAATAGACTTCTAGTTCATCTATACTGTGATACAAGAATCTAAACTCCATTACTCAAATAATTTAAAACAAAAATTTTTCTATGTTGAAAATACATTATATTATAACATCCATCTTTAACTATTGACAAAAATTCATTTAAACAAAACGAATATCTATTTGGAATCGTTAGTCATTATAAAACATCTATAAACGTTATCAGAAGACAAAAATGATCTGAAACATGGGATGTATTGACGCTATACATTTCAGACAATCTGATCATACACGGACTTGTTCAATAACACATATGGAAATTTCCAAAAAATTAAATTAATTCGATAAGGAATATAAGAAAATGAAAGGTAAGACAGAAAAATAAAAATCTGAATCATATACCCCTAGTATGAAAATTAAAATCACTACTATTAGAGTACGTTCAAAGTGAATACATATTATTTTAAAAGTTGGTATGCATCACGTAATGACATCAATTGGAGAACCATTGAAAACCAGGAAGCACTGGGCACCTGTTTCGTCTCAGTACAGGACTCCTCAGCAGCGTACATAGACGACCCCATCAACAACCATAAGTAAGAAAATGTGAGTTAATGAATATCGACCCTCTAGCTGAATGGCAAATTGCTCACTGTGGAACCTAGATATCCTGAGTTTAGTCCTTGCCGAGTTTATTGATGCTCACTGTTCAGGAGTCCCACTCTAAAACGAAACAGTTGTTCAATCCTCTTAGATTTTCTTTTTTCCAGCTGACATCAGTCTGCAGTGAATGACAACTTGAAATCAATGAAATCCTCTTAAACCTTCACATTGAATTACATTCTGTTTTTTTGTTTGCATCGAGGGGCTTTTAATTTACGGAAGGTTACAGCTCCTATCAATCTAAGTACTCGGCCCTGACTACTCTATGTAATACTTTAAAAGGTGTTATAGTGTCTACTATTTGACTGATTTCTAGTATATGTTACTAAGAGATGTAGATGGATGTTTGTCAGCTATGCTTATCAGATCATTTAAGGTCATTTGGTTTTGAAGAAATATCAATGAATTATATAAACAATTTTTAATTTCAGGTTGGTATTCATTGTGAACTGACATTATTTGGAGGAACATTAGAAACCTGGGAGCACTGTACAGCTGTCTCGTCCTAGTGTGAGGCTCCTTAGCAGTGCGCACTCACTAATCCATCAAGGGTCGAGCACAGGATCTTCAGGTTCTGCGGCCAGCACCTTACCATTGGGCCACTGGGTTGAAATCCAATGGTCCATATTTCCTATTTCCGTTAGTTCATGAAATAGCGGACCACCATTCAATGTCATCGTTGAGTAACTGTTTTCATGTTCGACATGGTGGGCCACACCGGTCACGACCTCTCACTGGAACTTCAAGAATCACCTCTTGAAGCTAGTCACTAATAAGCACTAGATTAATTCAATTTGGAGGTTTGTGGGTATTCATTTGTTGATTTCAGGTTGGTAATCATCATGGACTGACATCAGTTAGAGGATAACTACTTAACTGTCGCATTGGATGGAGGTCATGCTATATCGTGAACTGACAGAAGTAGGAGAAATGGACGATTGGATCCCAATTCAGTGACTGAATGGTAACGTGCTAGCCACGTGACCTGAAGGTCGTGGGTTCGATCCCTGGCGCGGTCGTGGGTACGCACTGCCGAGGAGTCCCATACTACGAGGAAACAGCTGTACAGTGCTCCCAGGTTTTCAATGTTCTTCCAACTGATGTCAGTCCATAATGAATTCCAACCTGAAATCAATAAATAAATTCTCAAAAACTTCAAAATTGAGTGTTTAGTTTGTCATAACTGGCAAATTCAGTTCTTTAATGTCCATAAACGTCATGCATATTGAACAGAATAAAGCTGGGTTTACGCCTTCAAGACTCAACTGTGTGCTTCAAGTGTAACGGAAGTACTTAAATTTTGTAATGATAGGAAGTTTTGTCATTGGTTTACACAAGTGATAACTGCAAACGTGACTAGTAGCAGTAATCAGTTAGTGCTGTTTATCGCAATTTCGCCATTGAAACTAATATTTTCTTTTAAACAGTTTACGTTAGTAGTTGATCTTTGACTGACACTAAGTTCTAAAACAGCTTCTCTCCTATCAAATTCACTGCATTCTTATTCTAAACAACTGAACCAAATGAATTCAGTGACTGACTTAAGACTATACAATAACACACATTCCAGTCAACAACAGCTAACCAGCCTACTGAGTCGTTCATATTACTAGTTTACAAATCTTAAATACAGCATCATCACTTTCTGCTTTTTACTACGCTTTTTAACAACTAGTGTTCGAACTCTTGTATTATGATCACACGAGTGGCACTTATTTCTACAGTTTCCTATATACATGGGGAATAACGCTTAATCTTATTTCATACTTACTAACAAGGATGGGACCGTAAAAATGGTTAACACTGATCAAATATGCATTCTGAAACTTCGCAATGGTCAGGAAGAAGAAAAACATTGAAATATAATAAACTTATTACACCTTTTACCTTGATATGTTTTGGAAACGCAACAAAAGCATATGCCGGGAAATTCAACCGAGACATGTTATCTGATCTGACATTGCTTTCAGATGCTAAAACACTTGATTTTTGACTGAAAACGTAATTTTGGGGAAAATGTTACATTAATCCCAAATATGAATGATGGTGATAAACTAATACTAGTACTTCAAGAAGACTGTGAAAACAGAGGAAGGAGCAGAATTATGTAAGGTTTGTACTCACTCAGTGTAAGTGAACAGTTGATTCTTCTGACGGCATAGAAACCGATGTTTTCATAAAGTGTCCGATTCTAAAAGGTGGGTAATTTTTCGATAAACACACACCAATAGATATCCAACCAGGCTTCTTTACGTGTGGCAATTTGAAAGTATTGGATGGTATGGGGATGTATATGCTACCCTAAAATAGCTACTATAGAACAAGTGGAATACAAAATCTTATCAACTTATCTTTACTCACTTCCCTATCTTTGACTGGGAGGACTGAATAGCTAGAAATATTTGTTTTACAAAGAAAACATCTAATTTTGATTAAATCATTGCTCATATGGATGCAAAAGCAATCCTCAAACTCTTACGACTAAGTGGATTATTCATATTATTACAGTCATTACTTTTAAAACCCTGTGAAAGTATTGCTAAGGCTGTAGATTGAGTTGGTCAGTGGTTTCTAAGGGTCGGCCAAGACTTCAATGGTTTACTTGTCAGTAAAATAATGCTTTGGCAATCAAAATAACTAAATATTAGAAGTATATCACATTGTCCTGTTTTATTCCCATTTCGAAATCGTTTTTCAAAGTAATACTTTTAAATGTTGTCATTAAATTCGTTCGAAAAAGATCAGAATCCTTCCAAAGATTTATTTTTG